GGAGGCAAATATTGGGGTGCTGTGGTAGGATCTGGAGCCAAGATTTGGGGTATTGAGGGGATTGGAACAGGGCTTTGTGGTGCTGGGGGCATAAGGAGGCAGGTTTTGTGGTGCTGCAGTGGAACCTGGAGCCAGGTTTGGGGATTCTGTCGGGGCTGGAGCTTTGGTGTAAGGAGCATGGCTGCAGGTGCTATGGTAGCATGGAGCAGGGTTTTGGAGTGCTGCAGGAGCCTGGAGCAGAGCTCTATGGTGCTGCAAAGGGCTGGAGCAGTGCTTGATGGGGGGGCATAAGGAAGCAGGTTTTTGTGGTGCTGGGGAGAAAGGAGGCAGCATTTGGTGTGCTGCAGGGGGATCTGGAGCCAGATTTTGGGGTTTGGGAGGGCTGCAGCAGGGTTTTGTGGTGCGGGTGGCATAAGGCAGCATGGTTTAGGGTGCTGTGGGGCAATCTGGAGCCGGGTTTTAGGGGGGCTGGAGCAGGGTTTTGGGGTTTGGGAGCAGTGCTTTGTGGTGGTAGGGCTATAAGGAGGCAGGGTTTGGGGTGCTGTTGGGCAACCCGGAGTCAGTTTCAGGATGCTGTTGGGGCTGGAGCAGAGCTTCAGGGTGCTGGGGCATAAGGAACCAGGTTTTGGTGTGATGTGGGGGGACTTGGAGCCAGATTTTAGGTGCCTTTTTGGGTTATCCTTTGCTAACTGGAAGGTTCCCTGTTTTCCAAGCCTCTGCAGTCCACTCACTCCAAGGCTGAGCTGCAGCAGCCTCAAGCCTCCTTTGTGTCACACACATCAACAGCAGTTTGCTTCTGCCCTCTCCACAACTTCATTTTATTACTGACATGAACAAGAGACTCCACTTGTATAAAAACTGGCTTTTATTTGGATATTGTTCCCTTCCAGAATATGCTGCTGGGTATGAAAGGAGAGGAAAAAAGAAGACAAAGAGCTGGCAGAAAGGCCTTTTTGTTATTGGGGATCTTGAGAAGACATCGTCAGCTCCATCTGTTCGTCTGACTGTGCATCAGGAGGAACCAGACAGCACAAAACCTTTGTTGGTTCAGTTCTCTTCAGGAGCTGGGCTCTGTGTGTGCCAGGAAGGCATACAGGTGGGAAGCTCTTGTGCGTGGTTCTGCATCATTTTGTGGTGAAAAGGACATTCTGTTCCTCACAAGTTCCGTTTTAAAACTGCAGATCAGCAAAACTCTTGGGTTTCATTTAAACATACCTAAAACTTCCCTCGGGTTTCCCTTGTTAAGTTCAAATAGTAGGTTTATTAGTCTTCAAAAAGCTCAACTAATAAAGCACTTTTCCCAAAAGGGCCCTTATTCTAATGGATGCTTTCTCAGAGACAGAAAGGCATCAAAACTAACGGAAGTATAAAAGCACAAACCTACACGAGTACGAGGAACACAAACAGCTTGTTTGAGTCCCATCTGTCACGAAGGAGCTTTGGAAAGCCCCGGGTCTGAGGCTGCAGCCCCAGAGCCCAGCCAGAGGCAAGGCTGTGCCTCTGGGATGGCTGCTGGAGGCTATGGAAGGACCTTTGAGCTGATTAGTCCATTCCAATCGGGTGAAGAAAAAACCTGCTCAAGCCAATGAGATCCACCAGTGCTCTATCCCATTTAAACCCGCTGCAGCTCTGCAGGGGAGGGAGGTGGGACGGTGAGCTCCACTTTTCATTTTGATACAGATCCTAAAGTTCCTCCAGGTCTCCCAGGGCTTTAAAGACATAAAAGGAGCACTTTCAGTATTCAGTTTACATCATAAAGTGCTGTAAAGTTTGTTCATTTGGGTGAGTGAGGTGAATGGGCCACTGGCCCTTGCGCAGTTGAGCCTCATCACTGCACATGACCAGCGTGGTTGAAAGACACAGTAGCTCTGCCAGAGTTACAGCAGGAGGAGAAGGCACAGCCAGAATGCAAGAAAATGAAGGAAAATAAAGCAAGTCACAGGGATAAAAGCTTCACTGTTCAGCTTCCAAGCCCCCTGACATCATCAGGGAGATTCTAAACCCCAAAAGGTTAATGACCTATTTGTTTCAGCCCCTGACGTGCTTTAATGAGCTTATTCGGGTCTCTCAAGTTCTTGCTCCAGATATTTCTTCTGTTCTCTATTTCAGAGCCGAGCCAATATGAAAAGATCAGTCCTGTCACTGTTCAGCCCTCTGAGCACAGGCAGGAGGGGTCCTTCCACCAGAAAACCTTTAGCAGGAGTCCTTCACATCCAAGCAAAGCTTTAGCCAAAGTCCTTTATGTACAAGTTAAAGCCAAAAGGGAGAGGCTGCAGAGGAGCAGAGCAAAGCTCTACTGGAAGCAAGAGGGACATAGCAGAGTTGATTTACAGCGTTTAGAGCCCTCTGACCAAAACCCAGCCCCTGCACACATCAGCGAGCTCAGTTGTCCACCTCTTCCTCATCGTTCTGCTCTTCTTCATCCATCCTTTCATCATCCTCATCATTCTCTTCCTCTCGGCTCTTATCCTGCTCCTCTGAGTCTGCCTTCTTGTCTTTGTCTTTCCTTGCTTCTTTCTTTCCTTTCTGCTCACGCCTGTAAACTAACAAAGAGAAAGAGAACACTGAAAGATGACATGCTGGTGTCTCCACGGCATGAACCACACGGCAGCTGGAGTCCCACGGCCACTTCAGGGGAGCAGTGACCCCAGAGCAGCCACTCACCCTATGGTCTGAGCTGTGCTGACCAGGAAATCGGGTTAAGTTTCAGCAGAAACCTGCTGAAAAGGATGCAGGAGCTCACATTTACAGGCAGCACCCAAGACTTCCCTTAGATAAACATAATAGGGGGGTGGCAGCAGATGAGACTTTCTGAATCCTCATCAGTTGTGACATACAATGTTATCCCAGTCCTGTTAGGGCGCACATTAGTTATCCCCAGGCAGTCTAGGACGCTGGGCAAAGAGAAGAGAAACAAGACAGGCAAGTAAGTGTTGCTTGTCCAGTGCTCGAGGAAAACAGGGCTTGATGCTATAGAGTCCCTCCATGTGAATGGGGCCTGTACCTTCCAGTGATTCCTTCAGAGGGGTTACAAATCGCTGGAACTCCATCTCCTCCATGGCAGAGAGAACATCACCAGCATTCAGGGTTTTCCTCTTCCCCTTCATGGCAAAGTTATTTGCACTAGTCAAAAACAAGAAATAAACAAGAGGGAATTGGTAACTGGCATCAGTTTAGTCTTGTTTATTAAAGTCACAAGCAACTTAAGGACAAAAAACCCATCTCTCAAATGTGGGGTTTTTGAATCTCCTACTGGCACTTGAAGGTACCTCCTTGTCTACACTGGCTGTTTGTTGGCTGGACCTTTTCCACAACCAGGGGGAAGGAGCAAGTCAGAACATTGGCTGCAGGGTGACAATTCCACAAAGCTGTTCCATACCCAACACCAGGGCAGCAGCTGCCTGCACAGCATCTTGCGAGCTGCTCCAGGAATGTTGCTGTGTCCTCCAGGCTGATAAGGTTGGCTCCCACTTGCCCTAAGGCTGCTGTGCAGGTAGCAGCCTGGAAAGGGAACCAAACATTCCTCCCTTTCCTCGGAAAGGCCACGTAGCTGAGTTCTAAGGGAATGGCAGTCTGGGACCCCTTGTGTCCCTGGCAGGGTGGGGTCTCCATGTCCAGAGCCCAAAGCTGCCTTTCCTGGGATAAGTAAAGAGTAGCCTGAACCACACTGCTGTGATCTGGTAAACTGGGCTGAACTGAAGATTGTTTGGATGATATAAACAGACAATCCCAGACTGGTTTGTGTTGGAAGGGACCTTAAAGCTCCTCCAGATCCAAGCCCCTGCCACAGGCAGGGACACCTTCCACTAGAGCAGGTTGTTCCAAGCCCCTGTGTCCAACCTGGCCTTGAACACTGCCAGGGATGGGGCAGCCACAGCTTCTCTGGGCACCCTGTGCCAGCGCCTCAGCACCCTCCCAGGGAAGAGCTTCTGCCTCAGAGCTTATCTCAATCTCCCCTCTGGCAGGTTAAAGCCATTTCCCTTGGCCTGTCCCTACATCCCTTGTCCAAAGCCCCTCTCCAGGTTTCCTGGAGCCCCTTTAGGCACTGGAGCTGCTCTAAGGTATCCCCTTCAGGAGCCTTCTCTTCTCCAGCTGACCCAGCCCAGCTCTCTCAGCCTGGCTCCAGAGCAGAGCCTCTCCAGCCCTCAGATAATCAGTCTCTTAACAGACACTGGGAATAAAACCAACTCTCCAAGACAGCCAGCATGAGGTGAATTATAAATCAAGAGCACTGGTTATGTGGTGCAACAAATTCTTACCATGATGTTGCATAAAGCACAAACACACTCGCTGCTCGCGATATCGCACTCCGAGCTTCTTTAGAGATGTTCACTCCATCAGGAAGCTAAAAAACAAATTAAACTTTTATCAGCAGCTGCTAGAAATTACTTAAAACTTTCATAATTCACATGTCAGCCCCACTAAGGCATTTGTGGGCTCAGCATAACTGGAAGTGAAGCATTGATCTCTGTCACTATCTGAGCAACTTTGATGCCAGCTGGAAGCCAACCTTAGTTTGACCACATTCTCCTAAATGCAATGAGCTACACAGGAGTGAACAAATTTCTGGATCAGGGGTGGGTTTGAGCACCACCTCTGGGGCAATTTGCCTGATGACTCCCGACACAGGCTGATTCCCGACACAT